GAGACGAGAGAGAGAATGGAGCAGGAGGAGAGAAGAGAGAGGGAGAGAGAGAGAGAGAGAGAGGACAGAGACAGACCAGAGACAGAGAGAGAAACATATTGTCTTGTACGTTACATTAGGAACTGTATCACCTAAGTGAAATCATTAATAAGTACCACAATAAAAGAATCAGTTTTGGTATATCTAGAATCTCGCCTAAATAACTGATCAAACACTAACAATTCTATTAATAGAGACCTTCCGATTGTCTTGATAAATATTTCAGTTTTTTTTGCGCGATCAAAGTTGTCGGTTTAGAGTAAAAGTATTTTGGTTATAACATTTTTTTTTTTTGTGGAAGCATCAACAACAGTATTGAATACAATCTTTGCCTTCCACAGTCAAGAGTATTTAAGTAAAAGATACACAAGTTTATCTTCCTGGTTTGCAATACTGCAATGGAGGAAATCATGTAAGTAATGTACACACAATCTGTCTGCTTAGCACATTTATCGAGGACACTGCGCTAAGCAAATGTACTTCTTGTAACACCGGAGAAGCACTGAACAAATCATCATGCGACCAGTATAGGAAAAAAAAAAATGTAAACGAGAATGAACATTTTCACAACGCAACGAATGTTTTTGGACTCGTTTCGACTTTTGATGAAACGATATATTTCTCGCTCTGTGAAGTCTGCCATTCTCCTTTTTTTCATTGAAATGCGTGGCTTTCTCTTTGTACCGTCGTCAGGCTACATAACTGACTAATCTTTACAAAATAAATTATGCTATTGAATATCATCTTAATGCTATAATCTATATATACATTTTATATACACACATTTGGACACAAACATGATATACATATCCTATTTAACAGTATGTAAGACGCAATTTATCCCCCGAAACACGAAAGAGGCAAAAAAAAAAAAATCACCCTAGGTCTATAAGTGAAAATAGGGCCACTTTTTCCCTTGAATATCCCTGCTAAAGTGGGAGTTTGTCTTATATGACCGTGCATCTTACATTTCCTCACAAAAGGTACATATATTTTGCATATATAAATGTATGTCGTATATGCCAACAGAAAGTGCATTGCATACAAAATGGGAAGACGTGTTTTACGTTGTGAAGGTTTCCTGCAGTTTCCCCGCAGCAGGAGCTGTGCAACTTTAAGGTAAACTAGAAAAGCGAGAGAGAGAGATGACAATACGAAATGAAATATAAATCACCCAACATAAATTTTCTTTTCATGGTACGTTCCGGTATTTACTCAAATGGCGCCTTTCATTTTCTTTTTTTTTTCGTTTAAATCAGATGTTGTGTGACTTAAGTGGTCTTAATAACCAGATAATCGCATTTTTTAGACCAACTTGGCCGTGTCCTCCGCCCGATGCAAGTGGACCCTGCACGTGCACTTTTTCTCTACACAGACGCGCACGTAAGCATCGACGAAGAACGCCTGCACAAACGCCCACGATTTCCCGAAGACCTTCCCCCGGCGCGTGGATTAGGCGTACACGTGGGGGAAGCTCTTGACGTTGTATCTCTCCGACTTGAGTCTCCACGCCGGGTTCTTCTCCTGGATGACCCTGAGGGCGAGCAGGAGGAGCTCGTTGAAGAGGAAGAGGACCCCGGGGATGAGGAACAGGACGTGGAAGACGAAGCGCATGAGCCAGTACTGGCAGGTGTGTCGGAGGGACATCTGCCTGACGAAGGACGGCAGGCGCACGCCCAGGGTGTCCGCCAGGAAGCGGAGCATGGCCGGGTACGAGAGGCACGGCACCATGTGGTTGATCCCCGCCATCAGCGACGTGGCCATGTGCTCGTGGCTCCAGTCGGCCGCCGCGAAGCCCGGCAAGATCAGGTGGCGCTCCATCTCGAGGCAGAGCGCGCGCGTGTCGGCGACGCTGCCGTTGCAGAAGTTGTACTTGTCCTCCACGCCCAGGAGCCAGCCGATGCCTCGCCAGAAGTGGATGAGGCCGGCCAGGTCCTCCTCCGACGCCCGCCAGGCGCCCATCTGCCGCGGGTGCGCCACCAGCACGCCCAGGAAGGAGTACTGCGTGACCAGCATGTCCCACTGGCTGATGTACAGCGGCGGGTCGTCGGGCGTCTCCAGCACGAGGCCCTGCTCAGCCTGCTGGCGCAGGTCGTGCCTCACGGCGGGGCTGAAGGGGCACCGCGGCTCCTCGTGCCCTCGGGCCCGCACGTCAATCCCGGACACCTTCTCGTGTTCCGTCGACGAGTTGAGGACGCGAGCCGACTTGTTGTGGATGGAGCGCACGGAGAGGACGTCGCGGTGGGCGGGGTCCTCGGGGTCCCACACGTCGCCGCTGTACCAGGCCACCACGTGCAGGATGGTGGACACGTAGCGGCGGAGGGCGCGCTGCGGCGTGTCGGAGCGGCCCGTGTAGATCAGCGGCCGCAGGATCCTGCTGACGGTGAACATCATCAGAAGCGCCAGCAGGTCCGAGAAGAAGATGCAGAAGAGGAAGCGGCCGTAGAACTGCCGCCCGCGGTTGAAGAGGCGTCGGTCCAGCCAGTCGGGCGGCTCCGGAGGGTTCCCGGAGTCCCCGGGTTCGTTGAGTCCCTGCAGGAGCTCCTTCAGGCGCGGAGACAGGCTCATGTCGCTGTTGAGGACCTTGGCTGAGCCTCCGCGGCGCCGGACGTGGCCACTGCTTTCACCGGCGTCGGTGCGAATGCCGGCCGCGCAGCCGTTGCTGGAGAAGGCCTTCGGGCATTTCGCAACGGCATCCGACCAGTCGCTGTTGTTGTTGAGGCTGTTTTGACTGGCGCGCGGAGCCCCGGCCTCCCCCGCGCAGACGCAGCCTCCCGTGCACTCGCAGCGCCTCCTCGCACTCGCGCCGCCGCCGCAGGAGGGGCTCTGAGGGCAGCACTCGTCGCTCCTGCACATGGCGCTCGGGCTGAGGGCGCTCTCCTCCGCCCCGGGCTGCCTGTTGTAGTTGCTCACGAGGGAGGAGTTGCCGTTCGAGTCCTTCTTGGAGCGGGTCTCGATGTTGTTGTTTATGTTATTATTGTTGTTGTTATTGTTGCTATTGCTGTCGTCGCTGGCATCAATCCTGCAGTTGTTGCTTTTATTGCTAAGACTACCTTTCGTGCTGTTATTATTACTCTTATTATTGTCATTATTATTATAATTCCTATTACAATCTCCTTCCTTCCTCTCGTTGTTATTCTCACTATCACTATCCCCCCCACGACCTCCGCTACGTGTCTCCTCACTCTCTCTATCACTACTACTATTATCGCTGTTGTTGTTGTTGTTGTTGTTGTGTTGTTGTTGTTGCCGGGGCTCAGAAGCTCCTGCAGGAGGCCCGGCGTGGGAGACGAGACACCGAGGTCCTCCAGATCCTCGGGACACGAGAAGGTGCTTTCCCCTTCGCTGCTCTCCCCCCGGTGCGTCTTCATCTCGCCAGCTGAGGGAGAAGGGACTTGGTTACTGCTGGGAGGGGGGGGGGGGGGTGCTGTGTTGTTGTTGCTGGTGTTATCATTGTTACTTATGGTGTGGTGTTATTGTTGGTGTTTGGTGTGCTGTGTATTGGTGGTGGTGTTGTGTTATTATTATTATTACTGATGGTTGTGGCGTTATTATTGTCACTGGTGGTGGTGGTGTTTTTGTTATTGGTGATTGTGGTGGTGTTGCTGGTGTTGTTATTGGTGGTGTGGTGCTATTATAATTACTGATGGTTGTGGCGTTATTATTGTCACTGGTGGTTGTGGTGTTGTTGCTGGTGTTATTATTGGTGTTGGTGTTGGTGTTACTATTGTTACTGGTGTTTGTGTTGTTATTGGTGTTGGTGCTATCATTGTTACTGATGGTTGTGGTATTATTATTGTGCTGGTGTTATTTTTACTTATGGTTGTGGTGTTGTTGCTGGTGTTATTTTTGGTGTTTGTGTTATTAATGTTACTGATGGTTGTGGTGTTATTATTGGTAGTGGTGGTGGTGTTATCATTGTTACTGATGGTTGTGGTGTTATTATTGGTAGTGGTGGTGGTGTTATCATTGTTACTGATGGTTGTGGTGTTGTTGCTGGTGTTATTGTTGGTGTTGGTGGTGGTGTTATTATTGTTATTGATGATTGTGGTGGTGTTACTGGTGTTATTATTGATGGTGGTGGTGGAGTTATTATTGTTATTGATGGTTGTGGTGTTGCTGCTGGTGTTATTAATGTTGGTGTTTTTGTTGTTAGTTTTGGTGTTATTATTGTTTTTGGTGTTCTTGTTGGTGTTGGTGTTATTATTGTTGGTGTTTTTGTTATTAGTGTTGGTAATGGTGTTGACGTTGTTGCTGGTGTTTTTGATGTTGTTGGTGTCTTTGTTATTGGTGTTGAAATCATTACTGTTATCTTTGTTAATGCTAATTAATTTAGTTAATTTGTTAATGTTAGTTGCTGCTAAGTATTATTAGTAGTATTATCATTATCATATTCATTATTAATATTATTACAGTTATTAGTATCATTATTATCATTATCAAAATTCCACACAAACACACACACACACACACACATACATACATTCATACATAATACATATATATATACATACATATATATATATAA